AAAGCCAAACAAAAAAAAAAAAATACAACCCCTGCAAAACGTGAAGAGAAGCCCCCTGTGCACCAGTGCTACCAAATTAATGTTTTACTTTTCACCTGCATTTTTCTGTCATGTTACTTCATTGCTCTTCGTTCATGTAAAAAAAACAAAAAAACTACTTGGACAAAATATGTGAATAAAATGACTGGTACAGTTCCAGATTACTGTAAATTGTCGATTTACTTTTTGCAAAGGTTATATTTGGAGGAGGGGGGGAGGGGTCGGGTGGGAAGGGGGCGGGGTAGTTTATGGTGATGGTCTTATTTTTTTATTTTATTTGTTGCATTCCTTTTGATCCCTTGTAATTCCACATTATTTTACTTGAACGATTAAGACAATTACAGTTGAATAAAAAGACCAAATATTTGTTGCCATTTTTCATTGTGTTGAAGGTTGTTGTTGTTTTTGTTTCTGTGGATTTCAAATTTAAGATCACGTGTCAATCAGACAGAAGATCAGAGTTCCAGAGATTCACACGTGGGATGAAACTATCTGTGTCAGTGAGTACTTCACCTTTAAGACCAGGTGAGACTCGTCAAGACGCCGATTAACGAGCATGATTGTTGCACAAGTGCGTCTCTGAAACGTGCACTTCCTTCACGCAGCAGTGACACAAGTTTTGAGGAAATGTGCAATCGTCATGTTGGATTCCAACACGTCTAAACCTCTTTTACTAAACTTTATGACAAACGGGAGCAAAACAACTGAAGTAAACAAAAACACTCACATTACAAACTGAATGCTGCCAAAACTTAACTTAATTAAGACCTTCCTAAAAGTGTTCTCAGTCTTTAAGGCCTGAAATTCATATTGTGGCCTTCCAGACTGAGAATCTGGAAAATTAATGTGGAAAAACTACAAAAATACCTCCAGCCACTAGATGTCACCGGTGAGGGAGTAAAAAGCCGATCAATGACACAGACGCAGGATAATGGAACATGAAAATATTTTTATTTTAAAAACAAAATCTATATTAAAATAAGGATGTGATGCGAAGTGTAACGTCTCCTGGTCACAGGAGCAGAGTCGCTGCTGCTCTCTGGTTCCAGAGGAGACGCGAGGGCCGAGCGTCCTTCGACAGTTTTGGTCTATTGTTTCTTTCCTGATTTGTCGTGTTGCGCTGCACAGCGGCTTCTGTTTCTCTTCCACTCCTCGCTTCACTCGCAGCCTGAAGGATCATGGGAGACGCCGCACAAAGTGACAAACGTGAAGAAAAACGACTAAATAAGCGTGATCGGAGTTTAGGACTCGGGAGACGCTGAACACGAACAATCACCGGCTCCGTCCCTTCTTTACAACGTTGGCGCACAACATCACATTCTCAGCTCCACGTTACGGAGAAGGCAGTTTCGAAAGAAAAAAAAAAAACTTCTCGAGTAGCAGCCGACACGCCAACGTTTAAATCATAAATACAAACTGGGGCCTTGGGCCAGAGACGCCTTGATAAAATAAAAATAAGGGGGTCGTTATTTCATATTTAAAAAAAATTCTACATTTACACGTCTCACATGTCGGCAGTTTGAAACATTGTTCAAGTTTTAAAATCCTCTGCATAAAGTTTGAATCCTCAGCTGCATAGATTATGTACAATTATATTAGCACAGAGCTTCACTCTATTAAAATAGTTTGTTTACGCCTCCAATTCATCCTACAAACAAAAAACGTAACAAGAATCATCGCACAGTTTTCCTGAGTACAGTATGTTCAGCGCCAGTGTCAGGTTTCAATACTGCATTGTGCCTCACTCAAGGCCACGAATTTCCTCTTTTTCTTTTAATGTCGGAGGGGAAGTGGCTCTGACCTAGGAGTCCATTCACCGGCAGCGCTGCCTCTCCAGTGACAGCAGAGACGCAGGCGGGGTTGTTGTCACTTGTGAGTTTAAACAACAGAGAGCACATCTCTTCTTAATGGAACGAGGCCCGATGGGAAGACAGGAGGGTTAGAGGAAGACGGCGTTTAAATGTGGGAGAGGATGAAAGGACCATGAGCGAAAAATCCACCGTTCAAACGATCCTGTTCATCCTGTCGGCCGATGTATTTACATGAACGGGGAATTTTTTTTTTTTTGAGAAACAATAATGTGCCTCCGCCAAACGAACTCCCGCCGCCGGGGGGGGGTTAAGTGCCAAAGGCGCTGACCAACGCGATGACTAAGATGAGGAGGAGGATGGCCAAACAGATCGCGATCCAGAACTTCTTCTGCGGAGGAGAAGACAAAAAGATCATTGACAAACAAAACACTAAATAAAAAGTAGAAACAAATCTTGCTGCATTACGACAAACACTGGATAGAAAACTGGAGCGCGGCAGTTTGTGTTTTCCAGAGAGTCAAAGTGTGGTTCAGGTTTCGTGTGAGTGAAACACGTCGTACCTTTCGTGCTTTCTGCTGATATGTGACGGCTTTCTCTGTGTTGTCCTTCGCTTTCTCCACGTAGTTCGAGGACTGTTTGATGTTGTTCTCAATCCGGTTGACCATCTCTCCCTGTGAGAAGGAAAAAATAAACAACACCGGATCAGACGCTTTTCTCAAAACCCGAACCAGCCTGAAGCCGTTTTCAGACATGACCTTTGTGTCCGGACATTTTCCTGAGTTTGTGTTTCGCATGTGAAGCAGCAGCAGGAGATTGTGCGGATCGGACTCGTTCACAACAGGAAAGAAAGATGACGAGATATTTGCGTTCTTCTAGTTTCACGTCCGTCACGTGTTTTCTGCACATTCTCCTGCTGCGTTCTCAGCCTTTTATTTACCTGAGCCTCCACCTCCATGGCGAGGTACTGGAACATGTCGTGCAGGTCTCTGATGCTCCTCTCCAGCTTCAGGATCTCGTCGTGCCGGGACTCGATCTCGTTCAGAGCCTGCTTCGTAGCTTTAGCGTCGATCAGGATCTGTACGCAGCCACAAAGCAGATATCTATTAGCTGTAAATCATTACATTAAGAATCTAATCCTAACAGTCAGGAGGTCTCAGGCTCTCATCTACGACTGAAGCCCCCAGCGTTGATGTCACTGGGCTGCTGGGACACTACGGACACATCTAGAGGCTGCACGGGATTGAACTTCTCATTCTTACCGACGTGTTGTCCAGTTTGATCAACTAGAGAAGCTACAACAGAGCAAATCATTTCATGTCATTTAAAGACACTGGAAGACGTCGACAAGCAAAGTGTGAATGTTTGTGTACGAGGAGATCCGTGACGTCCTTCTACCTCCAAATGTGACACGTACTCACATTTTGAGTGAAAACGTCCGTCTGCCCACTTTCCAGCATGACGTCCAGCTCCTCGTCCGACACGTCGTTCCCAGCTGCGGCGGGAAACAAACAAGGTCGGTGTTTTACCAAATGTTGCAGGAGAGGGACAGAAACACAAACCGATAAAGAAAGAAAAAGAGAAGATGTGGGAGAAATGTCTTGTGACCAACTGAAAAATCAAATGAGCTTAAGTATAAACTTCCCTTTTAAGACCACAGACCACAAACCCAACACTCTGACTATTGAAATGATGGCTGTGCTTGGTGCGCTCACTGATTCTCAGTTGCCTGTGTATCCTCTCCACGTTGCGGTCTCTGTACTGGGCCTGGATTGTGTTACAGTGACCCATCAGCTCCACAAACTCTTTGCACAAGACGCCGTGCTGGAAAGAGAAAGGAAACGTTGGAGCTGCTGCTCTAGATTCAATACTTTAAGATGTGATGCATTTTTATAAATTATTTAAGTTGTATCCTTAAAAAGGCACCAAGACTCAAAGGGCAGTTAAGGCTCAACCTGTGTGCGCTGCATCCGAACGGTTATAGACACATATTTTCCATCCTCCTCTGACTTCTTGGATTCGATGCCTGTCGAGAGATAATTGAATGTCAGGAAAACGAAACAGAAAACTTCCCACTGTGTTCGCTTCTTATTCGTCGATACTCACTCTTCAGTTTTCTCTGGATCTGACTCGCCACTGTTTTTATTTCGTCTCGAAGAGTCTGCAGCTCTTTCTTCATACCTGAACAACGAGAAATCCGGATGTTCAGCACACAAAGAGGCGGAGTGAGTTCTCTCTGTGTTTGTTTACTGTTCCTCGGACAGATCGATGTGTGAGATCATAACCTGATTCTCGACCAGCTGATGCTAGAATAGAAAATACTCACTCTCCACGGGCAGCGCTTCACCGAGCACAGTTTTCTGTTTGTTCTCCAGCTCAGACACCATCCTCCTGAGACTCTGCAGCCCCTCGTGAATTTCTTGTGCCTACAGATGGAGAGGGAGGATCAGTAAATCATACCTTTAGTTTTTCATTTTTAAATATCAGACTCAGTAACTTCGGGCGACCTGTGGGCTGAGCAACGACGTTCAGGGTAAATTCACCTTTTTGAAGAAGGCTTCGCTCTCCTTCTCCTCTTTGGCCGAAGAGGCTCCAGGTTTGATCATCAGAGCTGTGCCCTCCTCGTCATCGTCCGACGCCTCGGCATTCTGCGCTCACATTAACAAAAGAACCCCAAGAGAAGACAGTCAGTGCTTTCTCACGGCAACAAGGTTTGCTTCAGCAGAAACTTAAAGAAAACTTGGCTTTTCAATACTTAGTTTGTTCAGTGTCCTTGTTTAAATGTGATTTCAGATCAGTGCATCATTTCTTAACAAGACAGAATAATATGAGGAGTTCACAGAAGAAGAATTCGGATTAAAAACCCACATTTACATTTTTCCAAACTGGATTTGATTAAAATCCAAGAACCTGATTTAATCCAATCGAGTCCGGATCAAACATCAGATTATAGAGTAAAATAAGAAAGATAATAAACCTCCATCTCATTTTTCTACACTTGTCAGATCTGAGTTTTCCAGACACAGTTTAATTAATTAAAGTCTGGTCAGGTGTGAACCGGTGGATCTCTCTTCTCTCCGGCACCGACACCCCGGGAGCAGCCCTGCCCTGCCCCGGCCTGGCGCATCAGTCCAGAGGGGCAGCGGAAACCGGGACGACCCGGTCGCTTTAGTTCACGCTGAGACGCTGGGGACCGTGTCCACCGGGGACATGTCGCTCCCTGGATGTGGGTCACGCTGCGGGAGGAAGTTGTCCCGGGGACACAGTGAAGTTAACGCCCGTTTCGACACACACGGACCGGACGTGTTAGCAGGCTAATGCTAGCTGTTAGCCGTTAACTTCCACACTCACGTTTCCCAACTCTTTGGTCCGGTCCCGCATCTTGTCGGCAGAAGGTCCGGGGAGCCGCGAGTCTTCACCCGAGAGAAGCGAGTGAGTCTGAGAGAATCCACCGAGAGAAACCGGCTGAAAACTCCGTTTCCACTTGAGTGTGATGAGACTCAACAACTGTCCTCCATTAGCAGCTCCTCTTCTTCTGCTGCTGCTGCTGCTGCTGCTGCTGCAGAACATCCAGCTCAACACTGCCGTCTGCGGCAGAGGTGTGTAACTTCAACTACTTCAATCCTATGACCACAAAAAGAGACAGAAAGTTAAAAAAAAGTACCGTAAAGATGATCACAGACACGTAAAACTACAACAAGAACATGATGAAT